GTGAATAAGAGTGCCTTTTCCAGTAGACTTTTCTGCTGTTTAAACAGTCCCTGAGCAAAATGGAATATACCACAAATCAATTTCAATATATTCCAAAATGGAAATTGAAAAGTGAAAGTCAACATTACACTGGATGTAATGAAAAAGAGTGTCTTAATACATTTGCTAGTGCCTGGTACCCTTGGCTTAAAACATGGTGAACTATGGCTTGCGACATTTTTGCTATCACACTGGGCCACAGCTGTGCCTGTTATCAGCTCCACAGCAATGATCAACATAATATCTCACAACCACTGCCCACGGGTAAAGCACCTCACCATCTAACCTGCACTCAAAGAACTCTCTGCTACAGTCCACTTTTGGCATTTGTTTCAGCTTATTAGTTATATTTTACTCCCTTGTTCAGTTAATTACTCTATTTGAAACAGGTACTGTACTTTTACTATTGTGCTTGGGTGTCTTTCACCATCTACATACTTTAATACTGACTTGCAAATTCTGTACTGCATTATATCAATAAAGAATAGCTGGCTAATTGACTTAACTCCAAAAGGTGTCTTTCAATAGGTCACCATCTATTTAATCATCCAAGCATCCAACAAATTATTAATTTTCCTTTTGCACTATCTGCAATTAAAATGCACCTGCAGTAAATATTGAAAATAACTAAAAAGAAAAAAATGCACTTATAATATTGATTTGTGACTGCATTTTCAAAATTAGTCCAATTTGGAAGGAAAACTGCAATTCTGACAACTTTGTGGCAACTGCAGTAGATCATCACTTAAAGCACTGTGAAAAAAGCAAAAAGGATACGTATTATGTACGTACAATTGATTTTATTATTACTATTCATCACTTATGCATTTATTTACTTCTTTTTCTTCTTACATTATTTATTTATTCATGCATTTATTCATGTTTTTTTACACTACTTCTAGCAGGACTCTCCTTGTTTTGCCTAAATAATGATTGATGTTTTACTTTTCCAAGTTGCTGTTAATAGCACATAGTGAAACTGTTTTGACACAACTCTTTGTGCCAAAACACAATCTTTAAATAAAATAAATATCTATCAATGTAATAGATTAAATATTCATAATATTGACAAATAAAACATGCTATTAAAAAAACTGAACTAAGGTATCCCCTAGACCGCTTTTGCATGTCCACACATTTTGCTTGCACCTCTTGACCAGACAGTTCTTGACCACGTTATGCGGTGAAAAGCACCAAACTATGGAGTCTGGCCTGCAAGACTAGCTATCCCTAGGTGTTACCTAGCAGTGCATGCTAAATCAAGATTCATGTGCAGAATAGAGATTCTACAAAAATAATTTAATGTATTACTGATAATTAGCTTAATAAACAATTCTTCTGCCTCATAATGCAGTTTTTAACAGTAATCTGTGGTTGCCAAAGGTTATTCCATGAAAAGCACAATGTTTTCTGAATTGATGTTGATATCTGTCTATATTATTTGTATATAGTATGTTAAAATGGCTAAAATGTTGCACAGCCAATCAGAATTTAGAGCCATTTTTTTTTTTTATAACAGACATTCTACATCTGTATTGTAGAACTCAAACCAAGTTCTAGACCTCAGACTGTAGAACTCTGAGACTAAGCTGGCTGCAGATTGGCTAATAAAGCTAAATGCTAACACAGTTCACAAGCAGCCAAAAGCCAGCGAGGCTTCTAACCCTGACTTGCTCCATCCCCTGTGCCCTTCTGTGTCTGCGTCTGCTCTTTCTGTTCCATTAAATCCTTTCATTATGGTCAAACATATCAGTGGCCAGGTGATATTTACGCACGCTAATACGCGCGCCAGCTGCTCCTGTGCCAACGTTGGCCACGACCGCTCCTGCAGCTGGCACTGTACCCATTCTTATCATACTCTCATCACACACAATCCCTCCATCCGCCTCTCTAGCTCTCTCTCCAGCTCGCTCTCATTGTGGATCCACCATTTTGTTTAGCTGTTGTTGACAACATGTGGCAGAGATATTGAGCAAACGAAGAATATTCCCACCGGCCCTGATCGCTTTGGTTGAGTACTCATGACCACCTTGTCAATTAATCTAATTCATGGTTGGACTAGGGTGTGAAGGGTACAGGTGCGGAGGCAGAGAGGGGTATAGCTTATATGGATTATTAACGAGAATTTGGATGGCTTTAGATGCACCCTTGGTTTGTTACTAGCTCCATATGTCATGTTGGAGTAACAGAACAGTTTCCAGAAATAGGAGAAATTTGCCATGACCTTGCGACACAGCACATTCTCTGAAATTGTAATTTATAGCACTTGGAGCATGTGAACACAAAAATGTGTTCTATTTGAATAACACACACACACACACACACACACACACACACTCAGACACACGCAAACACAATGCACACATCTGAACCAAGTAAATTGCTGAATATTAATGATCTGCATGAACATCATGAAACTGTTTTGCATTGTCTTTATGATCAATTCCAACCACAGCAAAGCAGTGTTGCAATTAGCATAGAGATTATTGTTACATAGCACAACTGGTCCAACGGTGATGCGACTCCCAACTTGCTCTGTGCCAACCAGGACAAATGTGACTACTGAATATGCATTATGTCACTGGCATGGGAAGAATTTGTTCAACATCATTTGAATAGCTAATCACATTTGTAACTTGTGTACGGTCTTAAGCGAAGGCATCTTTCATGTTGGCCTTTACGTGCCATGCAGGGAAGCACAGAATTAGCAGTGCAACCCAATTAGCATGGAGAGAGAGACAGAGAAAGAGAGAGAGACAGAGAGAGAGAGAGAGAGAGAGAGAGAGAGAGAGAGAGAGAGAGAAAGACAGACAGACAAAAATATAGTAGGATAAAAAAAGAGGTAGAGTGATAGAGTGATCAAGAGATAGAGAGAGTAGCAGAAGCATGAGAGAGACAGAAAAAGTAGCAGAAGGATGAGAGAGAGTGAAAAAACAAGAAGGATAAGAGAGAGAAAGAGAAGAGAAGCAGTAGAAGAGGAAGATAGAGAGAAAGAAGGAAAGAAAGTGACATTGAGACAGAGAGGAGAAAGAGAAACACAGACCGGCCACTATAAGAGGTCCTGGCTGCCTAAAGAGCACAGACTCTGCCAGCAGTGCGACAGCAACACTGTAGAGCCAGAGCTGTTCTTTCTCACAGAAGATTCAAATAATCTAACCATCTCTATGATAATGACAAACTACTCCTTATCAGCATGGCATATATCTGCCTGCCACAACATACGGGACAGTGAGTGACCCACCCAAACACAGCACAATTTTTTTTTTAGGTATTATTATGTTTACTACTATTATTAGTATTGTTCTCTATTCCCATAAACTGGGACTTCTTAAATGTTTCAAATGTTTATTCCTGCCTTTTGATGATGTTTTGGCAATACTGTATCTAAATATGGTCATGCCAATAAAGCTTACTAAACTGAAACTAAAACTGAGAAAAAGAAAAAGAGGGAAGCTGTGTTGAGAGTAATGCAGTACAAAGTAATGTGTCACAGTAACAATTAATTTTTAAAAGTGTAGTGCATTAAATTCTAAAATCTTGTAATCACATTCCAACAACAGAATTATAACAATCTTAATTATGCACAATGCATTCAAATCATAAACTTCCTCTATATAGATTATCTGTGCGTAATTTCTATGTCATTTTCATGAGTTACCTACAACAGCTGACTATGCAACTTGTGAATGTGGGCAGCGCAGCAAGAGCACAGGATGCACTTTAAACTTACCAAACAATTAGTTGAAGCCTCTAAACATGCTAACATAAAACTGATGGAAAGAAGAGAGAGAAACTCATCTAAACCGGCTTGACTGATTTTCATTCAGGAACAGCTCTGTGAGCTTTACATATTACTCACAGAGATTTCACTTTGGGGCTGTTTCTGAACCGTGTATACTGACTAGTTTCTGGGTTCTTAAACAGCATTAGTCATTCATGATTAAACTCAAGCGTAAGTGGGTATATCCTGTTCAGAGTAAAGGCAGGGACAGTAACAGGCTTTTAAAATGATGTTTACTGTGACTGGCTATTTCTTTCTTTCTAAATAAAGCCTAGTGAGTTTTCCCTTTTACTTCCCAGTTGATAAAGGTTTGTTAGAGTTTTAGAGAGCAATGCTGTAGTAAAGTAATGAGTAGTGAGATCACTTTTTCCTCAGGAAGCAATAAATAAAGTAATCTCATTACAGTTTGAGAGAAATAATTAATAATTTGTAATGGATTACTTCTTTTGAATAACTACTCCTTTTGTGTGTGAGAATGAGAGAGGTGATGTCATAGAAGAAGATGAAAGAGAGAAAGAGGAAGAAATAGTGAGAAGTGGAAATAGAGAGAGAAAGATCAGTGACAAGGAGAGAGATGAAGCAGCAGAAGAATGAGAGAGAGAGAGATAGCATGAAAGATAAGAGGGAGGTAGCAAAGAATAAGAGAAGAAATCGCATAAAAATAAGAGACGGAAAGAGAGAGAGGTAAAAAGCAGAACAGAGGGAAAGAGAATAAAAAATAAAAGAAGATGTAAGAAATTTAAGAGAGAGTGAGAGAGATAGCATAAAAAGAGTGAAAGAAAGAGACAGAGAGAGAGAGAGAAGTGGTGGAAGAATAAGAGTAAAAGGGGGAAAAAGAGAGAAGTAGTATATATATATATATATATATATATATGAAAAATGTCTGTCATATATGTATATATGTATATATATATATATATATATATATATATATATATATATATATATATATATATATATAGAGAGAGAGAGAGAGAGAGAGAGAGATAGAGAGAGAGAGGGACAGAGAGACAGAGAGAGGTAGCAGAAGCAGTAGTAGTTTTATAACTGTTGATTCTGTGTTTCGGGAGCAGCTGAGAAATTCGGATCAAACCCTCAAAAGCTCACTGTATATTTAACCGCGTCCCTGTTCGCGTGTGTTTGTGCTTGTTTGTGTGTGTTTCTGTGTGTTTGCACTCACTGGCATGGTCTGTCCACCATGGAGGCTGTTGATGGCTGCCTGCGCTTCTGCATGGCTGGAAAACTTCACAAAGGCACAGCCTGTAGAGAGAGGGGGCAGGGGGTCAGTGTTAGCAAGCTACCCTCAAACAGGGCAAATCCATTCATTACCATTGTTTTCATGTTATCTGCTATGGAAATGTATTCTGCTGTTTGTGTGCGCGCTGGGTGCAGCAATCTGAATAAATCTGTTTAATTGTGCCGAATGTATTAGCCACACAGACCCAGACGTCCTTTCAGTAATCTCTCTCTCTCTATCCATCTATCTGTCTTTCTCTCTTAAACACCTTCCTTAACCTCACTTTCACACACACATTTCACACATACATCCACAGCCTTGTTTGTGTTTATTAATCTGTTTAATATTTACACATGCTGATCTGCGTGCAGTCTCTCATAATGGAGATTATGATGACAAAAGCACGGTAGTATAATCCGTCTTTCAGGCCCTATCGGTGCTTGAGTTTAAATTTAGGCAAAAAAGGGGCTTAGCTTGCCCAGTGCTAAAATAATTTTCAATCTTATGCCTTCTACTTATTTCACATCTTCATATCTAATGAAGGAGCAAACAGCCTTCATATCAAAGGAGCAAACAGGATTTGCTCAGATCAAATTACTCAGTGTGAGCCGATCAGAGAGAAAGAAATATCAGTGGAAAGATGTAGTCAATTTAATCCTATTTATCAGAGGCCGCCATGCAGTTTATGAGTGATAGTAAACTGCACTCATAGACGGGATGTTTTAAAACACGGCTGATATTACTGGTGCATTTTAAACTGCTCAACAAACCAAGTAGATCTGTTCATATACAAAATATTCAACATGTTATACCCACAGGCAAAGAAACAATGAGTCACTCAAATTACAGCGGATGATAGCTTCACTCAGGAGAGCTACATGCATATGGAACACACACACACACACACACACACACACACACACATACACACACATACACACACATACACACACACACACAAACACACACAAACACACACACAGACATACACAGACATACGCAAATGCAGGGAAACATTACATATATCTCTCTCTTGGCTTTCAAATGTACAAGTGAATACAGTGAATATATGAAACTGTGCAAAACCAGAGACTGTCCTTCAAAGCTAAGTAAATTATTCTCATTTTTGTATATCATTTTTCAGGAGATACTTCTGAGGAGATTGGATATAAGATAACTGATTCACTTGTATAATGAAAGGGAAAGCCAAAAGAAAGTTTTCAAAACTGGAATGAATAAAAATTATTAAAAAGTACAGAGAAAATGGGACCCCCTAACAACCATGCAAGACGTGGTAAACCATCAAACAATTCCTCATCAGATAAACAGCACTTAAAGCTTTCATCTTTGAGAAATAAGTGAAAATCATCTTCAGATCTGAAAAAAATACACGTTTCTGTCCATCCTTCCACTGTGAGAAGACACAGTGCTATGAGTCTGAAAGGATGTGTGACTCTCAAGAAGCTGTTACTGAAAAAAAGAAAAACCTTACAAATTACACTAGAACAGTGCATTTCCTGAAGAAAATGCAGGGTGATTGCAGAGTTGCTAAGATGTTACTAAGCAGTTGTTATGATGTATGGATTGTGCATGGAATGTTTTTTAGGGAGCCAACAAGTGGTAGCTACGTGTTGTTGAAAATGAATGGGAGTCTAGGAGAGGAATGAGGGATGAAAAAATGACATACAGAGGAGTGCGGGCCAGTATGGCTGTGGATTAGAGCTTGGGGATCTACCATAAGTGACTACATGCAGTTTGGTGGCTGGAGTGTAAAGGAAATAATAGGGCTTGGGTGAGGGCAAAAATGAATGGGAGGAATAAGGGATGGGGAAAAAAGACAAACAGATGAGTGCAGGGCAGAACAACATTGAATTTGTGCTTTGGGGCCTGCCCTGAGATAGTATATGCGAAATGGTGTGTTTCGGTTGAGCACGTACAGTACAGTAGATAAACGTGCAAATTTTTACCTCATTCATTTTTATGGGAAAAAAATAGTAATTTAACGAAGACTACACGAAAACCATACATTGGATCAACAAGCTGTACACAAGCACACCATTCCTAATCAGACTGTGTATGTAAATCACATAAATAACAATAGTGTTGCGCATTGATTTGCAATATGCAATCACTAATAAAAAACTACTGCTGCTCTCACAACAATAGATTGAGCACCCCAGAATCGAGACCTCAATATAAAGATGTGTAGCTGTGTACAAGCTGTTACTGAGAAAAAGAAATGGGCAAAAAAGAATGGAGTACTTGAATCATGAGAAGCAGAAAATGCAACCAACTTCTAAGACTGAACTTTGGAGTTGTGGAAAAATATCCCTGCAGGTTTCTTTGAATAACTGGAAGCAAGTCTCCTGAAAAGAATGGAAGCTGTAATGAAGGCAGAGGGCGAACACACTAAATACTGAAATATGTCATACTGTATTCAGTTGTTGAGGCTTCCATGTAATTTCCTTTAAATACACTGTTCTGACTTGAAATTACCTGAATGACAGCTGGTCTCTGGCTTTTATACAGTATTGTATCGATTGACCTATCTAAAGTGGTAGCTCAGTGTCTCTTTAAATTACCATTATTTACATTATTCTTTTGTTTTATTCATTTAAAAGTGTGTATGTTGAATGTGTATGTCTCTGGTCTTAGTAACTTCTGTCATTTTTGTCATGGACCAATGCCAGGCCACATTCAATGCATTATGTAAGCCATTAACACAATTTGAGTGAACCTCTTATCACAGAGTTCACTGGAATTACGAGCAAGTGCAGTTTCATTGGATTCCCCATGAAGAAACGAGTCTGTGAGAAGGCAGCAGGTTTGTATTGACAAAGCATTACATCATGTTCTACACCGGAACATAAACCAGCCTCAGCTCTCACACCTCCAGGGAAGCCTGGATACCTCAGCATGAAGGTTCACATAGGGACAAAATCTGTGCCAACAAATGTGGCTATTAACAAGTCCAAGTATACGGTTTCATCTCCCAACCTATCATAGTCAACACACATTATGGTGATGTGAACATAGTTGGAATGTTGCACCTGTCTACATTTCTGTTTGTTTATATAGGAATTTATTTGTTTGTACAAATAGTTAAACCATATTAATATTATTCAATAACTTCAGGGTTTTAAATGTAAACTGAGATATTATTAGGTTATAGAATTACGTAATAACACTTTGGGCTTGCCGGCAGGCCATTTAAGCGGTTAACACCATTTTTTGCTAATGACATTACCATTTAAAGAATAAACATATTTAAGAAAAATACTGAAGATCTCATGGCTAAGTATGGATCTTCCACTGACATTCTATGAGACATTAAATTTTAAATATTGGTCGATATACAATAATGACATGTATGCCTAAAACAAGGCAAAAATCAAGGCAAAATTGTCTCTACTGTAACTTGATATTTCCCCAGTGGAAAAGATGTAGTATTTTGGATCTTTGTTAATCTACAGTAAACTCTAATATGTGTAAATAATTGTCAGTGTTGTTCAACTCTAACAAGTGAAAGGAAAATATTCAGATCCTAAAAGGATTTTATGAAGAGCAACTCTTGGACCTCTCTTGTAACTCACTCACTCAGGTTTAGCAGGCTGAAAACTCTCCACAAGCATGGGACACTATTAGCACTATTAACATACACACTGGCCACTTTTTTAGAAATACCTACCTTATCCTTTTAACTAATGACCAATTATGAGGTCCACCTACCTTACATATCACAATACCAACGGAAAGACCCTACCTTTGGGCAAGACTCCTAAATTTACATTCATCTACCTCTGTAACTAAAAGAATTGAATTGCAAGATGTTGTGAATAAGAGCGTCTGCCAAATGCATCAATGTAAACGTAGTGTAAATGTCACTATATACAGTAGATGTGCATTATAGACTGTAGCCCATCTCTTGTCATGCACAATAAAACAGTCTCCCTCCACCCTATTCAGTATGGTTCAGTTTCCCATTGTTAACCAGATATTTTTGGGTAGTGGATCAGGTCAAAAACTTTAAGACCTAAAGTCACTAGATTGGTTTACAATCTCTAAATGTACACCAGCAATGTGGAGCTACACTGTGGAGTAAACAACAGCAAAGCTAAGCCCAGACTTACGCAGTGAAGAGTTTTCATTGGTTAAAATGAGAAGCAGGGAAAGCAACATGCTCACTGCCCGCCTCTAAAAGCCACACGCGATAAGAGGAGTAGTGTTAAAGGAGGGAGGATGAAAAGAGGAGTGACAGAAAGGTACAGGCATTGTCCGATGAGACAGAAACACGCTTTGATTTCTCCCGTGGCCCTGAACAATTTGTGGCCACAGCCCCCCGGCCCCTACAGATCGAGATGAAAACTCCTCTTTTTTTCCACTGTGACCCTAAATGAGTCAGCCTGCTGGGGTGCCATCCTGAATGCATGTCTCTGTTTGAGGGAACAAAAAGAGTTTAACCTTTAGAGTGGAAAGAAGAGGAGAGAGCATGCCGCTCTAAACCTGCAGGCCCTTTCGTTTGTGCAGGGAGGAGGCAATACTATATGGTCCAGCACAAACATCCATCTAACAACCCCTGCAATGGTCAAACCTCTGTGACCTGAAACCATAAGTGAGACTCTGAGCGATCCTCCAGCCAGCTGCAGCGAGAGCACAAATTTTACTCTCTTCAAAGAAGGTACATTACAGGGCCAATATTATACATTAATCACATATTTTATATGCAAGTAGAAGTGCAAAAAATAAAAATAAAATTTCAGTCACTCCTTGGGGATGTGCAAAAACAGCCAGGAACAGCACAACATTTAATCATTTCCCCCACTCCATCTTCCCTTCTGATAACACTGCTACAGACTGACTGCAGTAACAACAGTCCTTACCACTTCAAAATGAATGGGCTTCTGTAACTTGAATGGTTGGTCATATGTACATGTGTTAACGGCCGAGACACCACAGCCATAATGAATTTAAAAGGGTCTAAAAACTTTTTTCTACTGCACATTCAAAAACAAAAACACTGACT